GGAAAAAATTGAAAATGCTGTTTTCTCAATTTGAAAAAAACGATAATTTCGCAAATTCTTAAAACGTATTCTACCTTTTTAATTTTTGACCTCATATTCAGATTGTGTAGGTTATTTTACATGGCAAATGACTATAAAATTCACGACTTTCAACTATTTTGTTAGAAATTTTTTTCCCAGAGTGCATATGGTTTTCTAAATTTTCAAATGCAACGCGCAAATTAAAAATAAAATTTTGCACAGCTTATTTTTAGACCAAAACACATCTTTTTCCGCCCGGCAAACCAAATTTTAATTTTAACGAACGGTCTAGTGTACATATACATACATATCGATGGTCCTCTGCAATAACGACACAAAAAATAAAAAGGCGTTGCTACAGTTAAGTGGCTCTTGTCTCTTGTCCCTTTGCAATCCTTACTAAGGTAAGCAGTAAGGATTGCTAAAGTAAGTACATGGATTCGACATGGATTTGAGTCATGAGCCACTTAACAGTAGTAAGGGTTTTTATTTTTTGAATTTTGAATTGTGTCGTTGTTGCACAGGACCATCGATATGTCAAGATATACTAAAATTAAACAAAATTCATAAAAAAATAATTAAATTAGGAAAAAATCATCAGTCTTAGTTTGCAATATATGCATGCGTTAGCAATTCAATTTTTAGCCGTTCACGCACGTGATCGGGCTTTTTCTTCAGGCACTCGTCTAGCATTTGCAGGAAGGCGCTGTTATCAGAATCGGTGTAGCGGGCTTTGCTTGCAATTACGGCCTCAATACTGCCACACAGACGATCAAATCGTTCGTGCGATTCTTCCACCCGCTTGCGCTTCTTTCCTGCTGGAGTGATTGCACCGGTAATGGGCGCCTCTTCCACAAACTCGACCATTTCCTCCATCGCCACTTTCGCTGTGTGGTATTTGTGGGGAGTTGCTGTATGAGGGTTGATCATCGTCAAAATCCAAGTTTGAGATTGTTCTGTAAAGAAAATAATAATAAAGCATATAGTAATGTAAATTTGTATGCCTATGTATTTACACTGGTCAAAAATAATTAATGCATAAATTGTTTGTTCACTAGTGTAACATATCATAAGCATTCATATTTACAAACTTCTTATATTGTATTATTAAAACAATATACATTTACATACATATGCATGTATTGCATGTCTCTAATCCTTGTCTACTCCTTAAAAAATTATGGATTACTAAAGTAAGTGTTAGGGATTAGAGTCATGAGCCACTTAAAAGTATGTAGTAAGGGTTTTAATTTTTTGAATTCTGTCGTTATTGCCGGGGATCATCAGTATGTATTTCTGAGTAGTTTACCTTCTAGGAGCTATGTGCTTTGTTAGGAAGCGCATAGCGTCCATAAAGCACCATTCCGGCTTGTAATTGGCAGCGTCTCCGGATTTTGGCCGATTGGCTGCCACCTCCCGCACAAATCTGTCCCGGAGCGACTTCCATCTATTTCTGCAGTGTTCCTCTATTATTGAAGAAAAAAGCTTAGTAAATAATCACTCATATATTTACATATATACAAATATACACAGAAATAGCAGCTACTTACCAGAAACTCCTACGGAAGCCGCAACTGCCTGCCATGCCCATTCCTTCAGATACTTATTCCGGAATAAGTTGGAACTTTTGTCGAACAGGCATGGCTGCATTTTGATGGCCTCAATTAGTTTCTCCTCCATCCTTTGCTGAAAGGTTAAAAACCTAATTACTAAGGATTTGTTTTAGTAAAATTTTACATTTACCTTGCTTTTTTGAAAAAAATTAAAAATTTATCGCGTCCGTCTCAAGCGAATGTGAAGAATAAAAGGAAAATAAAAATCAGCTGACGCTCAACGCGCGCGAAAAGATGAGAGTTGGCGAGCTTTCGGCGTCGCTTTGGCGTCAGCGTTGCTTATGTGGGAAACTTAGTATTATTGCATGTATTTATCTTTTCTGTCAAAGCGAATCTGTCACGTAAAGCGAAGCAAGCGTTTTACCTGGCATCAGCTCAAGGCTTTTTATAGCTTCAGCAAGAGTCAAACATTCTTCTCCAATTTAGGTAGAGCGTCATTATTCCTTGTTTTCTGCTTAAACATACGGTCGTCGTACTCTTCTCGCTTCCTAATATGTTTTAACACAACACCACTATTTGTTGTTCGTTCTGGATGGCGTTGCCTCAATGGGTGATTTGGATGGAGAAATATCGCTGCGAAATTGCTGACTGTACGCTTCATCTACCGTAACTTGCAAAGCTGAGACTTCCTCATGTGCAGTGAAGCATACCGTATTATATAATATTAAAAAAATAAAAATACTTTTAACACTTTTAAGGACGGGTGGACTGCAGGGTCCATCTCGTAAAGCTGGGACATAAAATCTTTTGATACAGTTTTATTTAAAACAAAACAATGAAAAAAAAAACTTGAAATAATGAACGCAAACATGTATGTATATCGACGGCTGAGTGGAAGATCGACCTATCTCGGTACCCGGTTCGAAAACGCCCTATCTCAGAAAATGGCTCAAAAACGTGCTACTTCAGAATTTGTTTGAAGAACGCTCTACCTCGGAATTTGGTTCAAAAATGCCCGATCACATCTGAAAACATATTGAAAAAATATTAAAATAGGGGGTTTTTGAATCGAACTCGGAGATGGGGCGTTCTTCGACCAAATTCTGAAATCGGGCGTTCTTGAAAACTTCTGTCTCAAATAGGGCGTTTTTGAATCGGCTGCCGAGAATGGTCGATCATCCACTCAGCGGTCAATATACAGCTTTATTTTTCATACCCGTGAATTTTTTTCAGAAATTAGTATTATTTTTATAATTTCACTAAATATAAATGAAAGCCGTAAAAAATGCAGCAAGAATGGTAGACTGCAACATAGCGAGAGTACTAGTTCGACGGAATAAAAAAAACAAATATCATAGAAAATAAGAATGCTGGATTTGTTTATGGCTCCCTTATGTTGTACTAGTTTGTTCTCATCCCCTTCACTAAGAATATGAAACTTATGCGCGTAAAGTAAAGTGTAATTTTTTTCAATAACACTCAAATATTTAAACTTAGCCAAAAACATAGGAGATTCTCACATTATTATTATTATTATTATTATTATTATTATGCACCGAAGCATGTTAGGCTACCCACTAAAACCCAGTCCCCCACCGCCCGCGCAAGAATCCCGCATCTGGCGCCGCAATTCTGCATGTCGTCAGAAGCAGGAGCGCGCTACTAGAGCCTCAGGGCTGCTCTTTTGTAGGGGCGTTTCATTCGGGTGTCCTCAGTAGACATCCATCTTCTCGTTTGCAGCGGAGTACGAATTTCACGTATCTGGCAACTGCTTCTCACTTGTCTGCACTGGAGATCTTTACACTAATTACGTTGTTCGGGGTTATGTCTCCGTATCTTTCTTACAACATTCTGCGCGAAGTCAAAAAGTGCTCGCAAGGGAAGAATGTATAATGTACGTTATCTTCGACGTTTCCACAGTTGTTACAGAACGGTGAGTCTACCCTGCCCAGTAAGTAACCATGACGGGTGAGGAATTGCGTCAGGTAGGAATCAACTTCCCCGTGCGGTCTTTTCAACCATGTTTAAAGGTCGGCTATCAGGGTGTGCGTCCAACGACATTTTGTGCTCGCGTTCCAGTTTTGTTGCCACTGCTGGATTAGTTGCTCGCGTGTCCTTGCCGCGGCAGCTGCATGGCCTATCTCGGCACCGAGATTGTAAATCTCTTTTCGCTCGTAAGCAAGTAGCTCAATTGGCATGGCGCCAGAAATAACTAGAACCGCGTCCGCGGACACTGTACGGTATGCAGAAGCAATGCGTAGTAGCCTCTGCGCTGGACCGAAGACATTTGAATCCGGTATTTTTTGACTTTCGATGCGTCGGCCCATATTTCGCCATCAGCCGGCTTAGAGCTACCGCGCTCTGCGCAGCTTTTTCACATACTCCATGAATGTGTTCCCAGAATGTGAGTTGGTTGTCACGCTGCACCCCTAGGTATTTTGTAGCCCTAGAAGTTATCATTGGCTGAGGTCCGACAATCATGTTTATAACTGTCCATTTCTTGGTGAGAAGCACGATCTCTGTTTTGGCTGTAGCCAATTGCAGACCGTGACCGCTCATCCATCCACTGACGCTGCGCATTACCTGGTTCAGCTTGGGCTGCGCTAGCTGGATGTTTCTTGCTGTTATGATGGCGGCCACGTCGTCGGCGAAAGCGACAAGGAAGGCGCTCTCCGGCATTTCAGTGAGCAGCAGACTGTCATGTAAGGCGTTCCAGATGTCCGGGCCAAGTACAGACCCCTGTGCCGCTCCGCCGGCTATACATCTTTTTCTCTAACCTTGTGTCGTGCCGTACAAAAGCCAACGGTCTCTGAGGTAGTCCCGAATAATATCTAGCAAGTATGTTGGAACTTTGAATGACCGTTCCAAGGCCTCCAGCATGCCGTCCCATCGTTATTATTATTATTATTATTAATTCCCTTAATTCAAGTTGATTTTGCCTTTTTAAACAGGTGGTAACCTGCGTACTTGTAGTTTAGAAATGAGGCCTTTTTAAATCATTTATATTGATACTCATATTGTAAGAATTCATTTGATTTATTAAATAATTTTAATGAGTTCTTAAATAGATGGCAACCCTCTTCATATACCTCAAAAACACTCTAGTATTCAAACAAGATTTTTTAACACTTCCATTTGACACACATTTTAATACATCATATAATTTGTGCATAAGTTAACTAAATTCCACTTTTAAAGTGGTGGCAACCATCTTCAAAATATTTTTAAACAACAACCTTCTTAACTTCTTGACTGACCGCATATTGTGATAGATATTTCAATTACCTAATTTCCTCAATACAAGCTGGATTTGATTTTTTAGTACAGTTGGCAACCCTACTAAATGTCATTTAGAAATAAACGCTTGTCAAACCCATTTCCATTGATAAACATATTGGAATAGTTCTTAACTTAATAAATAATTTGAACTGGATTTAACATTTTAACAGATGGCAACCCTTTTAAAACCCCAAAATATTCTAAGCGTTCAAACAAACGATCATTATTTTTAATATTTTATATAACTTCAAAATATTTTCTAACTACAATCTTCCTAAACCTCTTTCGCTTGACAGCCAATTATGAAAACATATTTCAATTATTTACTTAGTTCCCTTAATTCAAGTTGAATTGGATTTTTAAAATTCAGTTCGTATGTAGCTCGTCGTTTTCATTGTTTTCGGGCTATTACTAAGCAGAATTCTGCTTTCTGAGTTGCCGGAAAAGAGAGGCGGAAGTATTTTTGCGCACACTTTCGAATGAATTAAAAAAGTTAATTTCCGCTTTCGGATTATTATTATTAGCGTTAAAACTCGTCGATTGATGCTCTTCCTGACTTTTTAGGAGAGTTGTGAGTGCGTGAGTGAGTGAGCTGGTTCCGCTAAAGTGAACTACTATTATCAATTAAAATAAGTAAAATTTGAAAAATTGACACTTTGAATTTCAATAACACCAATAATNTCCCATCGTTATTATTATTATTATTATTAATTCCCTTAATTCAAGTTGATTTTGCCTTTTTAAACAGGTGGTAACCTGCGTACTTGTAGTTTAGAAATGAGGCCTTTTTAAATCATTTATATTGATACTCATATTGTAAGAATTCATTTGATTTATTAAATAATTTTAATGAGTTCTTAAATAGATGGCAACCCTCTTCATATACCTCAAAAACACTCTAGTATTCAAACAAGATTTTTTAACACTTCCATTTGACACACATTTTAATACATCATATAATTTGTGCATAAGTTAACTAAATTCCACTTTTAAAGTGGTGGCAACCATCTTCAAAATATTTTTAAACAACAACCTTCTTAACTTCTTGACTGACCGCATATTGTGATAGATATTTCAATTACCTAATTTCCTCAATACAAGCTGGATTTGATTTTTTAGTACAGTTGGCAACCCTACTAAATGTCATTTAGAAATAAACGCTTGTCAAACCCATTTCCATTGATAAACATATTGGAATAGTTCTTAACTTAATAAATAATTTGAACTGGATTTAACATTTTAACAGATGGCAACCCTTTTAAAACCCCAAAATATTCTAAGCGTTCAAACAAACGATCATTATTTTTAATATTTTATATAACTTCAAAATATTTTCTAACTACAATCTTCCTAAACCTCTTTCGCTTGACAGCCAATTATGAAAACATATTTCAATTATTTACTTAGTTCCCTTAATTCAAGTTGAATTGGATTTTTAAAATTCAGTTCGTATGTAGCTCGTCGTTTTCATTGTTTTCGGGCTATTACTAAGCAGAATTCTGCTTTCTGAGTTGCCGGAAAAGAGAGGCGGAAGTATTTTTGCGCACACTTTCGAATGAATTAAAAAAGTTAATTTCCGCTTTCGGATTATTATTATTAGCGTTAAAACTCGTCGATTGATGCTCTTCCTGACTTTTTAGGAGAGTTGTGAGTGCGTGAGTGAGTGAGCTGGTTCCGCTAAAGTGAACTACTATTATCAATTAAAATAAGTAAAATTTGAAAAATTGACACTTTGAATTTCAATAACACCAATAATTATTATATCCTCAAAAGAATTATACCGTTATGGTCAGGGCTAAGGTCCCTACGTATTCTGCACTTTTACCTTTAATAAATTTAGTTATATGCATAAATCATAATAAATAGTTATATCAAAAAGCGAAAATATACTTACTTTTCTCGCTCTGGGTTTCCATTTTTCCTTTGCCAAATTCATTATTTTAGTAATCAGATGGCAATAGTGCTGCCAATAATTTCGCTTTCGCCACAAAGTGAAAGTTGCAAGAATACCCGGTACAAGTATTGGATACAAAATTTTAATAAATTTAAGGTGACAAATTTTTGTAACCAAATCGTTAAGCTGAGATCACACGATTGCCGCAAATGCACCAATCTGGAACAATTTTTATTGTGCTGTATTGGAGCACAATAAAAAAATTGTCCCAATCAAATTCTGTACAGTCACACGGTTGCCTCTTTTTATAGAATTTTGATTGCCGCAAGTTGGTGAAAAGCAATATAGTGACAATAATTGCCCCAAACTTATCACACGATTGTTCTAGCATGCGGCAATCGTGACAATAAGATGTTGCGCTGACTTCTAAATTCTGTTTTGTTCTTTGTTGAGTCAAAATGGCGTATTCTTAAAAAAAGTAAATTGCATCTAATTTATATATTGTGGGCTCATTTTATGCATATTTGTTGTTTGAAAGCAAAGAAGCAAACACTTGAGTCCAATGAATACTGACGCATTTATTTAGAAGTTTGATAGTACAGTTTTTTTATTTCTCGACGATAACTACAACGTGATATATATGTGGAGTTCAAGTTACAAGAGTTTTCTTTTTAATTTTGGTTTTCTTTTTAATTTTGGCTTTTTTATTAATTACAAGTAAAATGGTACAAAATAATTATGTATGTTGAAATGAAAGCTCTGAATTTATATAATTTATGTTTGGAATGAAATTTTATAATTATATGTACAGCTCGCAACAAAAGATAACACCTGAACATTTTAATCAATATTGACTTTTTTCTTCTGTTTGTTTAATGTTAATTTTTTCTATAAATCCATAGCTCGTTGTTTAGTAAAAACCACATAAATAAAAATTTCAAACTTTAAACAACAATTAGAAACATTTCTTAAACTTTTTATAACAATTCAATGGTTTTTAATTTGGATTTCTAGAAAAAAAATTGTTATGCAGTTTACAAAGTAATTTGCATAGAAGAAAGTGCATAATACCGCCAGCTAAAAAAATTATAAAAAATCGACAGGATTTTTTAGCAACTTCAAACTTGCACCTTGTTGTACTAAATTTTAATGAGCTATAAAACCGAATAACAATTTTTTTTTCTAGAAATCGAAATTAAAAACCGTGCAATTGTGTTAAAAAATTTAAGAAATTTTTAAAATTTTTGTATAAAGCTTGCAATTTATGCGGTTTTTGTTACACAATGAGCTATACTTCTATAGAAAAATAATGAACACTAAACAAATAGAAGAAAAATAGTCAAAACTGGCCAAAATGTTGAGGTTCTACCATTTCGTCGTGGGCTGTATTGAACTTTTAAGTTTTTTTTAAAATAAATTTATACTGTCATGCCAGTTCGCCAATTGGCGACATAAAATACCTTTCGTATTCTTCTCGTATGAGTTTTGCTTGTGGTGATGTATATCGCAGCAAAGATTCCGTCATCGGACTTCAAGAAAAATTATAATTTGAATACAAATTAAACAAAATTAATAGTTATGTTGCTTCCGAAAACAAGGATATTGATTTCAGTGATTTTTGGACACATACGGAGCAAAAAAGTAAATTATTAATAAACAGCCTAAATATTGTTGTGTATTGCTCACTTCAATTGCCGCACAAGAACACAATAAATATTGCCGCAATTTTGAAATTTTCATTGCCCCATGATTGCCAATCGAGCTATCACACGATTGCCGCAAGTGAGTTGTATTTGATTGGGCATTGTAAGCACAATATCGGCCTCTATTGCCGCATGAGTCAATTTATTGTGAAATCACACGATTGGGGCATAAAATGAGGCAATAATTGGTGTATTGCGGCAATCGTGNACGCATGAGTCAATTTATTGTGGAATCACACGATTGGGGCATAAAATGAGGCAATAATTGGTGTATTGCGGCAATCGTGGGATCTCAGCTTTAGAATAACCTTATTAAAATCTGAATTTGTCACCAGGAAAAATTTTTACATTTCGTTAGATGTTTTTTTTTAGTTTTCCGATTTTCCCCATATGCATACAAAAACAATTTCCTTTTTTGAATCCGGGCTTAGACAATCTTTTCTAAAATCCGTCGGAAGTATTTAAACAATATATATACGGATTTGTCGAAAATTGACTTTGCAGCATTTTTTAACAAAACCTCCAAAAATTTCCCACTATGAATTGGTCGATATTTGTTCGTAATTTTTGGAGATCAAACCTCATAGCTACCACAGGGAGCATCCGAACAGACAATTGCTTGAAGTAGTGCCTCCTCCTTGGTCCGTCACAAGGCATCTCTATGGACTCACGGATGAGAACCAGGGTTGTTGAGAATATTCGCATTCGCATTCGCAACTGCGGAGCTTCCGCATTAATTTTAACATTCGCATTCGCTATAATCAATGCGGAGCTTTTGCGAATGCGAATATTTTACAAGTGGACCGATAAAACGTATATATGGCAAAAAAAAAGTACATATTGTAGCCAATTTTTTTTTGCCTGTGGTCGTAGGAGTATTTGTGTAACAAAACTTGTCAAATGTCTTATTTATCAACTTTGATAAAAATGTCTTTAAAATATTGTTTCTTAAGCTATACAACCGAACTATCAATGGGCAGCTATAAAAGTCCCCACTTCTACTTGACCCTTGACGTACGTCAAAGAGAACATAGTCCTTTTAATAATATTTTGTTTTTCTGTGCTTTAAATACCTGCTTTGGCTTCTTTCTTTTTTATGATTTTTTTGGAACAATCTTAAAAAAAAACTACTAGACACAAAAGAAGAAAGTGTGGACTGTAATTCTTATCAAAATTTTCGTGATTTGCTTTTGATGTTATAGGCGGCATACGCGGGGCGTCTGACTCGTGAGTCGGTTTGGATGTGTTTGTGAAAACAAATATGTGTTAGTTACATCAACATGACTCCCGGCATGACTCTGAATGATTCAACTGTGTGTAGTCGAAGGCGAGTCAACACGTACACAAATGACTCGTGAGCAAGACGTACCACGTATGCCACCTATTACATATATTCGTTTGAATAATTTCAAATGGTGCTCTTTGGGGAATTCATTTTTAGCCAAAATTTAAAAAACAGTAGTTTTGTTTACTTGTTGGATAATATTTTTTTTTTATAGGGATATGCATTGGATTCTTGGCTAAAAACTTCTGTGGTAAAACTGTCCCTTCTTTGCCATTTAAAGTCAATGAGTAAGCTCCTTCAATAGGGATTTCCAGCAGAAATGATCAACTTCTAGCTATAAAGAGAATCGATGCTCAAATAGTTAAACAGCTATAGGTCTGACCTTTAATTAAGTAGATAAGAATTACGTAACTATCTGTTATTCAAATGCTTTAAAAAAAAAATAGCAATATTCTGATCCTATTCGGCTGGCAGCCACGACTTTNAGCTATAAAGAGAATCGATGCTCAAATAGTTAAACAGCTATAGGTCTGACCTTTAATTAAGTAGATAAGAATTACGTAACTATCTGTTATTCAAATGCTTTAAAAAAAAAATAGCAATATTCTGATCCTATTCGGCTGGCAGCCACGACTTTGGAAACAGAATTTTGTTCAAAAATAATAATCTATTTTCCATATCCACCTATTTAGCTCGCTATAAGCACAAATTTTTTAAAGCAGTCGCAGAAGAAAGTAATAAAAATGAATTACAAAAACTAAAATCGAAAAGTGCTGATAAAGCTACTGGTTCTCCAAATTCTGAAACAAGATGATATATGTATCTGGTTTGGCTTGTAAGCGCTGTTTAAACAACGATCTTGCCATTATGCTAGATTCTAATTGTTTTTTAAAAATACTTGACATCCGCATTCGCATCCGCATCCGCGGATGTTAGCAGTTAGATATTCGCATCCGCATTCGCATCCGCGGATGTCTGAAATTCCACATCCGCAACATCCCTAATGAGAACCACACATACCTAACCCAACTACTATCCTCGACGCTGTATCGACAAGCCCTAAACAACGATATCAACCATCTCTTTACCACCCACTTAAACCCACTCAGCTAACTCTACCTTTGGTCCGTACCGTAGAAACAGACTACCTTTAGTTGAGCTTGACGACAACGATCCATAGACTAGCCGATTTAGGAAGAGGTTTAGTAGAGCCGCTATAAAAACAACGTCACTAAGTTATATGTTTATTAAAATATGTGCATACAAACAATGCTTTTACTATATAACTATAATACTTTAATTTTTACAGCAATGAAACCACACGAAATTCAAGAGAAACTAGGATTAACTAGAATAAGGGATCGCAACTGGTATGTTCAACCGTCATGCGCAACAACAGGAGATGGCCTTTATGAAGGTTTAACATGGCTTACTTCCAATCATAAGTTATGAAAAATATTAAAATCTAATTAGAGAATTCAATATAAGATACACATGCTTACCATGCTTTTTAGCAAACGAACAACAGTAGTAAATAAGAAAAATTTGTAAATTATAATAATGAAGAAATAGAAGTTTGTTTGATTATATATACGTTAAAGAAATAAGTTACATAAATCATATAATTTGTAAATATATGTTTAAATAAATTTCAATGAAAAATACAAGTAATGAAAAAGTTGCATAGATTTTTCGTATATTTTTTATGCCTACATACATATCGCCTCCCCTATTCCAGAAACATGAATGTGCAAAAATGAAAATACTGTGAAATTAAGTTTGAACGTTTTTCTATGAGACTTAGCTCTACATTCATGTAATTGACATTGTGAAATACGTATGTGGTTTCCATGTACACTTGGTATTCTAGGTTTTGGTATAACATAGAACATCCAAAGATTTATCAAGTCAACCCATTAACTTAAAATTAGAAAATTTGCACATTCATACTTCTGGCATGAGCGGATGATATGTATGTAGTTCTGGAGAAAAAGGTTTGGAACTTTATATTTAAAGAATAGCGATTTTGTAACCAAAGGCGTAGCGCTATTAGTATGTATGAGTATTATTAAATATGTGCATGGTTATAGTTAAAATAAAAACAATATTATTGTTACTAAATGTAAGCTTTATAGTATCCAAGTTCCGACTTTCGTCGCCAAACATACATACATATGTATTTAAAAAATATATTTTTTTCGCGGGAGTATAATTCCAAACTTAGACTATACAGGGTGTCCCAGAAGTAACGTGCCAAACTTTAGGGCAAGGTAGGTGGGGGGGTGAGCTCACTGATAAACAAAAAATTTTCAGGTAAAAGTGTCACCGTTTTTGAAATATTTACATTTTTTCGAATTTAAAAAAAA